CGGCGTCAGCAGTCGGCGTGGTCGAGCGGGAACTGCGCGGCAAGGAGCCGTAGCCTTGTTGGTACAGCTGGTCGGAGCCGCTCCGAGTGGAGGTCCGTGACGGAGGGCGGGCGGCCACACGGCCATACACACCGTGGGGGTCGTGGGGACCTGGCTGGGGGTCGACAGAGCCGTAGTTAGTCAAGTACTGACCTCCTAGTCCTAATCCTGCGATGCTCTCGTACGTTGACGAATCTTTGAGGTGCCCAGTTGACCCACCGGTAGACACCTGTTTGTGGTACCCGTACACGGACTCGCTCGAACCGGGGACGGGCTTGGGAGGGGCGTGGCTAGTAATAGAAGGGGGCGGGTTTCCTGTTGTTGGGACAGTGGGCGTGTTTCGAAAATGGGCGTGTTTCCCACTGTACACCTCGGCGTCTGAGTGATGCCTTGTCACCAAGATACCCCTCTCGCCGCCGACGTGTTCTTTCCTGTGACCTTGACCTTCCACCATGACCTCCCGGGGCGGTGACCCGTCCATGCTGTGCTGGTGGCCGTCTATGACCACTGTCTTACGGTTACCTTCGCTGAAGAGTTCTCGCTTAGTTGGGCGCTGCTCTGAGTTCACTTTCTGCGTACCGCTCAAACCCTTGGCGTCTTCAGATGTGCCTTGGTGTCGGCTTCTACCCGCTGAGACTTCAGGAGCGGAACTCTTCTGTCTGTCTCTCAAGAAGCGTTTGCCGGAATTTGAAGAGTCTGATTTGCCTCTGGACTTACTTTTGCTCTCAGAGTCTTGTCGCGTCCTCCCTTTGCCTGGAGGTGTGGCAGAGCTGGCATCTTTGCTCGACTTCTTAGGAGACGAAGCTGGAAACAGAAAAGGGAGGGGGGGCGATTTGTTATAGACGGTAAATACGTATGAACATTGAGACGGACAGAAAACTGTTCATCAGTACGTGCATGAAAAAAATTACGAACTCACAGGATCATTATTGTATAATATGCAACAACATCGTCTTTCTTTCGATTTGTGTGTGAGTTTTGCGGCACTTGCAACACAATAAGGTCGTATAAGAGCCGAAGAGTAGAGGTGTTACAAGAGAGTAACAAATGTAAAAAGGAGGGGGAGAAAAGGACGATAGATGTTGGGAAAAAAGAAGTAGCAAACCACACCAAAGCACCCATCAAAAGCAACATTTTGTTTGGCTCTCGTTAAAACAAGCAAACAAACAAACAAACACACACACACACACACACA